GCATTCACGAGCTGTGCCTGCTACCTCGAGATATGTACAAAAAACATGTAAAGTTATGTCTGGCTTAATCGCTGATTCTCCGAATCAGAATCAAATCTTCGTATTCAGATTTGGCTGAATCGAATTGGGACAGTGATCTGAATCAACTAATCAAATCACTGTCCTCTGAATTGAGCCGAACCCGAATTGAATATGGCCCTTTTCATGCACCCGTAGTAATAGTTCTATGAGCCTTCTCCCTTAAATATTAAGAATCAACACAAGAACTGGTTTTCTGTTGACTGCATTCAGTTTTGGATCAGGTTCTCTAAATTTTCCAAATGCTTTATGTGATGATGGGAAGAATGTTTGCTTCATAAAGTACTTTGGGATTACTTTGAGGATGACCAAAGCTAAATTTTGCTCTCAGTTTTGGATAGTTCGTTTTTCTTTCACAATCGTTACAGTAGATTGGTCTGTCATATAGCTCATTTTCCTGCTGTGTTTGCAGTTTCATCGCAACACATTTAATCTTTTTTTTCCCCGCCTTGGTCTGAGAGGCCAGAAACAGACGTCACCTTTTTGCCATCATAACATTTTTATTGTGCTACAAAGGCCAAGCAACAGATATCCATGCACTTTGTCATGGCACAAATGCCCAAACTTGTGACCACACCAATAGGTAGTTAACATTTGTGCTGTTTTTTTTTTTTTTCCAGTAGACATCTGTTTGCTTTATGGTGGGAGAGTTCAAGCACCCCTGAGCTACCCACACTCTCTGGTCTACCTGCCAGGTGCTCCCATGCTTTTGAGGGCCTAACCCTGTGTGGTCCATGAATTCTCCCGCAGGGGTATTATGACTGGGCCCCTGCAGCTGTGGGATTGCCTGCCCTGGTTTCCCCTCTGGGAGGGGATTCCCCAGGCAGATGTATTGTGCTGCCATGCCCCAATTTGTGGGGTGTGCCTCTGCAATTGAGGGAACCCTGAGGACATTTATAATTCCCACCATAAACTTTTAGTTTAACCTTGCAAACTCTGCCATTCAGCAGCAACTGACAGAGGTGGTCTTGAAACAATTGGTGGCAAACAGAACCATTGATAACTCTCTTCAGTTGACCTCCATGTCTCCAAGATTATGGATTCCCTCCTTTGCAGAGCTACACTCCAAGTCAGTTTCCTCATTTGTGGTTGTCCTGCAGTATTGGCCCTTTGAAGCCCCAGAAGCGGCAGGGGCCCAACCCTGTGGGACAGTGGGAAATGTCTGTGTTGCCCAGTTAAGTTGATCATCTGTGCTAGGACACATCCTGGCACAACTGATCCTGCTCTAAGGACGATGTCTGTTTATAGCCGGACAGAAGTAGCTTAAAGGGGCGTGTTTAGATTGCATAGGTTTGATAAGGCATAGTAGAATGCATCTGACAAGTAGGGGTATATTTTATTTGTTGTTTTTTTGTTTGTTTTACCATACAATACATTGTTCAGAAATGGAGAGACTACACAAAAGAAACAAATAATTTATCTAAAACATTTTTCCCCATACGGTGAAGTTTTTTGTTTTGTTGGGGTATTCTTCTCTTTGTAGGTATGCCTTAGCATGGTACTGTGAGTAGGGTTCTACCTAAATTGTGCTGGAAGTGCACTGTGCAGCAGCTCCTTTAATCTTGTTTTAAATATGCCGCTATTTTTGCCTCCTGCTGCTGATTGGTGGAGGGGCCCTGGTGGCCCTGCCACTTGCTGATTAGGCAGGAGGCAAAAACAGTGGCATATTTAAAACCACAGTTTTTGCCTCCCAACCAATCAGAAGAATGGCTGAGGCCCCTCCACCAATCAGCAGCAGGTGGGGGTGCACAGCAAAAAAAACAAGGATAAAGGAGCCACTGCACAGTGTGCTTCCAGTATGATTTAGGTAGATCCCTACCCATGAAGCATGCAGGCTTAAAAATGCCTTATGTGCAGTAAACAAATTTGAGGAATTTAGTTACAGAAGACCAATTTCAACCTTCACTTCTTTTAATTCCGTCCTAGTATTTTCTTGTCCTGATCTGTGACGTTCTTTCCTTGTTTGTTTCTTTATATGGTAACCCTCATTGTGACTGGCAAGTGTTAGAGCAAAATCTGTTTTTTAACTGTGCAAATTAACACAGCTATGTAATTTTGTTTCTAATAAATATATGGGCAAGTGTATACCTAGGTATTCTTAAAGGTTGCCTAATGAAATGAACCTCAAAGATGAGTAAATATAAGGTTCTTTCATATTGCTACAGAAATGTAGAGCCTATGTATTTGCTATTTTTTTTTCCTTTTTTCATTAATATATTTCCCCATACGTCATTAAAATGCCCATGTATCCCCAGGGGGCCAAATGTTCTGTCATAACTTGAAATCAATGGATTTTCACCAACAACAACAAAAATTTGAATCAGTGCAGCCAGATTCTCAGATGATGCAAGTCAGCCTAGTTCCTCTGACTTCACTTTACCTCAGTTTACTGAGCTGAGCACCTAGCCCATAACTATTATATTTTAGCTGTCTTTCTTGTGGTGACTAGTAATATTGTATTTAGCTAGAGATCCTGGGGCACAGTTTTTTAAAATTATGTCAGCAAACAATGCTAACTACAATAGGAGATAAACTTGATGTTCTCTTTTTTTCAGACTAATGGACATATATCTGGTAATGGTGATGTATATCAAGAAAGGCTAGCACGGTTGGAAAATGATAAGGAATCTCTTGTTTTGCAAGTAAGCATTCTCTTGTTTACAGGTTGGTTGCTTTAAATGGTTAAAGAATTGATTATTTGCTTGGAGTCGTACCATCTTGGCTTGTGGTCGTAGAGCTTGTTTATTGAGAAAGTTGAACTAGGTTAACATAGTGTGACTTTAAATTTCAGTAAGATTGAGTGTCCTCTCCATGTGTAGACAAGCCTATATTTAATTGTTACCTGACCTTATCCATGAGGCCACTATGTTTCTTTCATATTCCTTAAGAACCTCTTCTTTATTGACTACTAAAACATTACATAAGTGGGCCCTATTTGCTTATCTATACTGTAATGCTAGCTCAAGGATTGGGAGCAGTCTGGCCCATGGAGTACCAGTGATTTATTCCGCATAATCTTCATGATGATTAATGGTCTTCCATTCCTTAACCTCCCCTTTGTTTCTATTATCCTCATATGATACATCTGTCAGAAAATTGTCAGCTCTTCAGAGTGGACATCATGGTCATATATATAGACATTCAGTTTCTCCTGGGAGAGTTGCTGCTCTCCTAGGAGAAACCACAAGTGTACAGAAGATGTTTGCGACTTTTCTTCCAGGACAAAAACCACTCTGGAAGAAAAATAACCCAGGAACAGTCAGGTTTAAATGGCTCCCAGGAGAGTTTCTCCTGGGAAAGCAGATGATGTCTGAGAGAAGCCACAACAGTCATTCAGCATCCCAGAGTGCTTTGCTCCTGGCTCCTCCGCCATGGAACACAGTGTGTCGTTTGGGCTGGACTCTACTGCTCCAGCTGAGGAGGAATCAAAACATACCCCCTTCATGATTTCCCACATTGTACTGTAGGTAGACACTGGTTGATCCTGAGCCATCTGGATCAGCTAATTAGGACTTCTCTGTACATTTCTGTCTCTAGACAGACTGAGGGAGACACCAGAGCACTCGGAGATGTGTGCACAAGAGGCCCCTGGCTGTGCCACATCAATTGTTAGCTTTGCTCCTCAGGGGCTTAACCTTCAAATGTCTGTTCAGACACCTCCAGGTAATATTTTTACTAGAAAAGCAAACCTGGAAGAATTGCCCCAGATTATTTGAACATGTGTACACAACCCATATTGACCTTGCTTATGGTGGGATGCGTGAGGCATAATTATGGGCTTTCTATTATTTATTTAGTTTACAAGCATAGAAAATTAGGGTTGGAAGAGACCTCAGGAGGTCATCTAGTTCAACCCCCTGCTTGAGCAAGACTGCTCCCCGTTCCCAAGTATATCATCCTAGCCAGGGCTTTGTCTAGCTAGGTTTTAAAAACCTCCGAGAATGAAGATTCCACAACTTCTCTGGGTAACCTGTTCCAGTGCTTTACTACTCTTCTAGTGAGAGAGAGTTTTTCCTAATATCCAACCTAAACTTCCCTTGCTGTAACTTGAGACCATTGCTCCTTGTTGTGTCATCTGGCACCACTGCAAACAGTCTAACTCCATCCTCTTTGTAACCCCAGTTTAGGTAGTTGAAGGCTGCTATTAAATCCCACCCCCCCCAGTCTTCTCTTCTCCAGACTAAATAAGCCCAGTTCCCTCAGCCTCTCCTCAGAAGTCATGTGCCTGAACCCCCTAGCCATTTTTTGTCCTCTGCGGGACTCTCTCCTATTTGTCTACGTCCTTTCTGTAGTGGGGAGCCCAAAATTGGACATAGTACTCCAGATGTGGCCTCTCCCATGCTGAATAGAGGGGTATAACCACTTTTCTTGATGTGCTGACAGCACTCCTGCTAATGCAGCCAAGTGTGCCATTAACCTTCTTTGCAACAAGGGCACTCTTTTGGTTCATAACTAAGCCTTATTTGATACTGATGCAATGGGAGTACCTGATTCTCAAAGTTCTTTCATGCAGCTTTCCGGACAATATTATAAAGCGAGAACTTAGTCACTGTGCACATCTAAGATCCCACTGCTATTGAAATTACTATTTCAGAAGAGGAGTTCAATCCTAGCTAAATTACAAGCTTTGGGCAAGGGGAACTTGCCTACCAAAAATTGTTCTGAAATTATAGTGGGCAAATGTAGAAATTGTCTACATTTCCATGCTGTGGACTGCTCTTGTTGTAATTGAACTGTGGATGAGAGCCCCATGTTGTTTATATGCGAGCCTTCAGGTCCATAGGAATGATGTAAGTTTGCAGTAGTTATGTATGTCCATATGTCACTACTGTACAGGTAAGCGTGCTTACTGATCAAGTGGAGGCTCAGGGAGAAAAGATTCGAGATTTGGAGTTCTGTCTAGAGGAACACAGGGAGAAGCTGAATGCTACAGAAGAGATGCTACAACAGGTATTGTGAGGAAGCAAGAGCAATTGCATTTCTTTCTGCTTATTAGATGTGTTGTGGTACTAAATTGTATAGTTTGGTCTGCTTTAGTTAGACTGGTATAATTTAGTACAAGATCTTGAAATCTTCCGCATGGCACGGCAGTGGTAGCTCCTTTGTTTACCTTCCCACTTTATTTGTTAAAAATGCTCTAATTCTTAGTTACATCAGCCCTATTCTGCAGAACAGAATTTAGTAAAACTCTTACTGGAGTTCTGTTAATGACTTCCATGGGAGTTGAATTGAAGCCTTAGCTAGCTCTTTTGGGGCTCCTATTTATTATAAATGGCATGCTTTGCTGCTCTCTATTATGGGAATAGGCCTTTTGGATGGGGCATTCCGGGCCTGGCAGCGAGACAGCAAGAGCAATCCATAATCTTGGACACATCCAGGTGGATTTGAAGAGAGTCACCTATGGTTCTACTTGACATAAGTTGTTCCAAGATCATCTCTTTCAGTTGCTGCTGACTGGCAGAGTTTGCAAGACTAAACTAAAAGAGTTTGTTGGGAACTATGGATGTCCATTGTTCACAGCTTTTCCTGAGGGGTAGAATTGGGCCTTCCTGGTCATCCTTAGGTGACCCAGTATTACAGGTAGAGACTTCTGTCTGAGGTGTGAGAGGCTGGCTGGATTAAAGATTATTGAGTTGGTTGGGGTGAGTATCCTGGGTAAAGGATTTTCTTGATTTATTATCTAAAAGACTTCTTTCTGTTTCTGGGATCTACCTTTGTATTCTGCTAACATGTAATTTAAAAAAAAATGATGAATTATTCTGTTCCTCTTAATTCTGAATCAGGAGCTATTGAGCAGAACATCCCTTGAAACACAGAAACTGGATCTTACGGCAGAAATTTCCAATTTGAAGCTAAAGCTAACCTCTGTAGAGAAGGACAGATCAGACTATGAAGTTACATTCAGAGACACAGAGGTGAGTAAAGCAGTTGAATTGATCCTTTAAGCCTGCATGTGGCTTCATGTTTCCAAAAAACAAGCAGCAGGGCTTTTTTTTTTTTTTTTTTTTTACAGGTAATGGGAGGACTTAATCTTTAATGTTCACGTGTTTTCTTTTTAAGGAAAAAAAGTTCCTTTTGCTTGGGGAAACTCTCAGTTTTGGAAAGAGAACTTCCAAAGTCAGGTTCTAAGCACGTGGTTCTTAAGCTGAAAAGCTTGATGGTCCGATTCAGTGAGAGAGAGATGTGTATCATGTATAGTAGTATCTCGCTGAGAGTTCTTTGCTCTTTTAAAGAGCAGGATCAGGGAGAATTGCAGCCCTTGGCTCTGCTTTCTCTAGATCACTGGTCTGTTGCATAATAACTCCTGTGATCAGATGGTGCCAACATACACAGGTGGTAACAACTTTCTGGTAATTGCATAAGGTAAAGAAGAGAATGTTAGGCTCTGCTTTTTTTTATAAAAAGAAACTTGAGTTTTTGCTCCTTAAGATTGCAAAGAAAAATTCCGAATGTGAATTAATCTGCGGGAAGAAAGGGTAACAATAATGCCATTCAAGGAAGTAAGTCTCACTTAAATGTTGGGCTGATTCTTAAGGCTTTTTATGACCCTTGCAGTAGTTGGTGTTGTGAAGTGTAGCTCCTTTATTCTAATATAAACATATCTGGAGCTGTGAACAGAGTTTACATCAAGTTCTATTACCTTATCCCCTCCAGTCTGATCCCAGTTATCTGAATGATTATTACTGCCTTAACAACAACTTACCAGCTCAGACAAGCATCAGACACACCACTGTTGTAGAAATAAGATTTGCCAGGTGGCAAACATAGATGGAATTCTTCAAGATAGCTTCAGTGCTGTAGAGGCTTAGCCAAATTGTAACTAGCTGTTATTTTGGACTCCCAGACAGAAACATTTTTTTAATTCAACGAAGTGATGGTAAAATGTGAAATCCATTACCTAATGAAAAAGCATAACACCATAAGATAAGCTCTGATCCTTACAGCATCACACCCTCACTGAGCAGTTTAAGCTATGGGTTAAAATGTAAGCATCAACAGCAAATGCGAATTCCATTACGTGTCTGCCTCTAAGCATCACTTGGTCTCTTAAATGAAGGTTTTCCAAAACCAATAACAAAATCAATTATTTAGTAGTCTCGTCATCTCTTTATGTGATTGTAGTCTTCCCAATATTTGCTGTTATCCCATCTTTCATTGTGCTACAGTCACGCCATGACACAATAGCTGAACTCAGGCAACAGATGAATAAAGTGGAGGTGGAACTAGTGCTGTTTCAGGAAAATAGGTTACAGTATAGGGATCAAGAGGTGATTTTTGCACATCATTAACTCTAATTGTAGGCTCTGTGCATAAAGCTTTCCTGCATGGTAGCTGTCAATAACCTGATTTTTTTTTTTTTTTTTTTTAAATGTCTCCAAATATACCTAATATGTTTTTATGACAATAAAGTTACTTAGATTGCATTTAAATGCAATCTTATTAATTGCAGTAACTAAGACTACAACAGTTTTACTTATAAGACCTTTTTTACCAGAACTAATAAACTATTACTAAAATATTCTTTCCTTTAAGAAAAAAAGAAAAGGCAGTGTAGAACTACTGCTGAGTTAATAAAACGTTTTTATTTCATGATCCACCTGTTCCTGGTCATAAAGTTTGAGCCCATATTCTGAAAGATATTCAGATGTCTGACTCTCACTGAAATCAATATGATATTCAAAAGATCAGTGCTGGCCTAATTCATTCATTAATTAATGATTGGCTAATTGTAGTGAGAGCAGAGTTTCGCCAACGTTGAAAGCTTTTGAGAAATCCTATCCTAAAACTTTTTGTGCTGTAACTATTCATGTGCAAACACATAGCAAAACCAGGTAAACATGGTGGAGAGAATATGTGAATGTGGAGAAGAAAAAAAGCCACAGATGATACAAAGTCCATGGATACAGGAACAGGGCAATCATTGGTAGGAAGTGAGGCCCCCAGTTGTCTATCCTATTGCTTATTTTGAAGCGGTGTTGCCAGATCTTAAATATTACATTATCATATTGGAAGCTCAAAATTATTGTATTTGCTGAAAAACTATCATACACTGGAAAATATGCAAATGGTTATGCAAATAAGCCTTCGTATTTACTTTACTTTATATTGCTCACTGTATTTGCCAGATAGTAAGTGAGAACTGAGTTGTCAGTTAAAGTATTTCTTTATTTTAGGCAAGCAGTCATAAGAAAGTGCTGACAGCAAGCCCAAAAATCAGTTAAAACTCCTTGAGAATGACTTGGGTTTTTGCATATATTGCATCATTTAGCTGCCTCAAAAATTGTTGTACATTTTGAGCACTTTTACTGTTACTGATTATACATCATACAAGGATTGAGTTTATTGTACACCTGGCAACACTGCTTTGAAGAAGTAGAGCATCTTAATTTCTGTCCCATTAAGAGAACAATTGGCTGCTGCAGTTATTACCAAATGTCTAACATATAAACTCCTAAAACCAACTGGGTGTGGGGAGGAGGTATCTAGCTTATCCTTTTGTAGATTGCAGCCTGGATATATAAACCAATATTATTTTCTAATAGTTGAAGAGAAATGGTAATTCTTTTGGCTAAAAATCATGTTATTATCTGTCTCATGGTAAAAGAGTTGTCTCGGAATAATGAAACATTTTATTCTTAAATCTTTTTAAATCTGGCTCTATTAGAACTATGATAAAAACAGAGCAAGGAATTTTTTGGTGGTCAGTTAATGGATTTAAATAAAATTCCCATTATTGAGAGTGTTATTTCTGTGAGACCCATTGTGTGTAGGGCATCTTTGTTTGTCAATTTTGTATCAATAGAATTCAATACAAATCATATGCTTCCAAGTGTGATTTTTTTTTTTTTTTTTAAATCACAGTTTAATTTCTTGATTGCTGTTAATTTGAAAAAACGAGCTTCAACAAAACATTGTTGGCTGTTCTCAAAATACAGACTGAATTAAATCCCACACAAGCATACAGTTTTCCAGTTTTTACTTAAATATATTACTTCTCCTTGCCCCCATTTGGAAGCTGTTTTCTCATATTCATGAATCTCCTTCTTTCTGTCTGTGGATACCTCCTTTAAATTATGTGTAGACTTTATTTCCACAATTAAGGGCATTTTTACACATGTACATGTCACAGCGCTGGGTGCTTTGAAAAGCATTCGGTGCTGCACATCAGTTTGGAGAAAATAGCGGCAGCGCACTTTTGCACTAAAACAGCTTGGAGGTGCTTTAGTTCAACCGCACCACCCCCATTTTCTGCACGCTGATGCACGTTTCGCCACTTATACAACTGCATGCTGCACAGCGCAGTTTCCCTCAGCTTGCTTGTGGAGCAGGCGAAGCAGCGGGTCTCCAGTGCATCACTGGAAAAAATATATATGTATAAATGTGCTAAACTTCTACAACTTCTGTTGTTTGTGTGTGTGTGTGTGTGTGTGTGTGTGTGTGTGATATATCTTTATTGGGTCCACTGAATAATTGAGAGTGATGTTAGACAAGTGTTTGGACACAAAGCACCCTTCTTCAGTCTGGGAAGGAAGCAGAGGCAACCTAAACTAGGTCAAAGGATCCCAGAAAGATAAGCATCCAAATGTTTCTTGAATGAGTCCAGAGTAGGTGCCTGCACCACTTTTGGAGGGAATCTATTCCAGGCCCTGGGGGCTCGGACAGTAAAGAAGTTTTTCCTTATGTCCTGCCTAAAATGGTCATGGAGGAGTTTATGACCATTGGTCCTTGTTATCCCTTGGGGCGCTCTGGTGAACAGACATTTCCCCCAGATCCTGATGCATACCCCCTATGTACTTACAGGCAGCCACCAGGTAACCCCTGAGCCTGCGCTTTTCCAGGCTGAAGAGTCCCATGGCTCTCAGCCTCTCATCATAAGGCCTATTCTCTTGCCCTCTGATCATGCATGTGACTCTCCTCTGGACGCTCTCAAGCTTCTTGACATCCTTCTTGAATTGTAGAGCCCAGAATTGGATGCAGTACTCGAGCTGTGGCCTCACTAAGGCCGAGTACAGCAGAAGGATGACATCCTGAGATTTACTTGAGAAGCATCTATGGATGCAAGCCAGAGTTCTGTTCACTTTACCAGCTGTGACATACCATTGGTGGCTAATGTGGTCAATCATGACCCCCAAGTCTCTTTCAGCTGTGGTGCTAGTGAGCGTGGCACAGCCAAGCCTATAAGAATGCTGTGGGTTTTTTTCCCCCTTGAGGTGGAGTATCTTGCATTTTTCGGTATTGAACATCATCAGGTTTATATCCACCCACTTACTAAGCTTATCTAAGTCGGCCTGGATCCCTAGCCTGTCCTCAGGTGTGGACGCTATGCCCTATAGTTCAGTATCATTGGCGAACTTGGCCAGTCTGCTTCTCACACCAATGGCCACGTTGTTGAGAAAGATATTAAGGAGAATCGGTCCAAGGGCAGAGCCTTGGGGGACACAGCTAGTCATGGGGCGCCATAATGTTTTGCATCCATCGACTATTACTCTCTGGGTCTGACCTCGGATCCAATTTTCCAGCCATTGGACTGCGGTGTAGCCAAGGCCACAGTTGACCAGTTTTTCCATGGGGAAAAAGGAGACACCAGATCAAAGGCTTGTTTAAAGTCTAGCTATATGATGTCAATCTCTTCTCCCTTGTCCAGGTGATATGTCACTTGGTCATAGAAGATGAGATTGGTCAGGCAAGACCTACCCGCGACAAACCCATGCTGGCTGTCCCTCAGGATGTTGCCATCAGCCAGCTTATCACGGAGGATCTCTTTGATAATTTTCTCCAGAATCTTACCAGGGATTGAGGTCAAGCTGATTGGCCTGTAATTCCCAGGATCTACTTTCTGCCCTTTCTTGAAGATGGCCTTCACATTGGCCTTCTTCCAGTCTTCAGGTACTTCACCTGAGTGCCATGAGTTTTT